CGTACAGGCATGAACGATACAAATGATGAAGCCGTAGCATCTGCATAGGAGCGACAAGAATCGACGTTGACGTTTACCCCCCCCCCCCTCCAGAACGTTAAGCTACTTTATTTAATCACGCTGCTGTTAGTTTACCTACCCGTCCGTAGTCGTTTACTTTTGTTCTATGTTATGTTTGCTATGGTTGAAAAATGTGATGACATCATTGTGTCTGTCTGAGTCGTATCGCACGAGCGAGCCGCAGTACTGTTTATATGATTGACGTCGAAATGTTGGCGAACAGCAGGAATGACCAAGACATATTAATATTTGTTGCCAACAAGAAATATGCAAAAAAAAAAAAGCAAAATTTATATTGAAAACTAATGTCGAGCGGAAGACCTAAGAAGACCAATAATTACAATGATAGTTGACGGTAATAACAGAGGAATGGCTTACAATGACGCGGAATAAATTTAAAACAGGCAAAGATGAGAATTTGGAGACCGAAAGCGAAGTTGAGCAATCGCAAGAGCGATATAGAATTAGAATAAAGAACGAAGAGTGGCTGCAAAACGGAGGAAAACTCTTGTGAAGCTGTCTCCGTTTGCTGCTTTGCTTGATTGTCGTTATGAGTTTTCATCGTCAATGAGCCCTACCCTCCTTCCCCTGGCGAGCTTCGTTACACTTTGCCCTTTATTGCCCTCTCAGATTTCCTCTAGTCCGTCTATACTAATACTAATATGATTGGTATTATTGCCCCTGAACGTTTTAGCAGTAGTGGTGCTGCTGCTGACTAGCGTCATTCAACGTTTCGTAGCAGGGGCGACAGGTCGAGCAGTCGTCTGATCGCGCTAGCCGGTGAAGTGGCTGCAGTTGAGGTAAGTGTTCCGTATGCATGCGTGCCAGAGAGAGGAACCTTCACGTCTACACTGTTTTTAGGACAGCGAATGACAATAAGATGGATTCTTCCAATCAATAGCTGAGATTATTCATTTAACGATTTCACAAGCCTCATCTTCGTCCATAGTTTCGCATAGCGAATTCACAGGCTTTTAGCATCAGTCTAACGCCATCGTCGTTTGTCATTAAGGCCCACAACAACGAGGTCCTAAACATACTTCTGTGGATAATATCTGATGCATTCAAAATTGAAAGAGTTGCTACAGGGAGCTTACGGAAGGTGTGTTTCATTAAGAAAAAAAATAAAATAAAATAAAAGTATAGCCAAATTTGATTTTCGTAGTATTCTAATCTAAAGTATATTGGCACTAGCAACTCGCTCCCTAAAGTGGCCGGTCCTTAGCGCGAGCAAGCTTCGTGTATTACTTATATTTTTCTTTTGTGATAGTTACTTTGTTGTTATAACTTTCCTTTGAAGAGTCGTTGGTTCAAGTCATACCATCACGTCATATGTGAGACAAAATGAAGATGATAAGCGTACAAATTTCGATTTTCAGTATTTTCCAGTCACTGTATGATAATCTAGATAGGCTTACCTGTTCGAATTTTACAATGTCAATAGCCTTCTGCAAGGTTTTCGAGATTCAATAGAAAAAATTAACGATTCGTAGCATCTACACTGTATCATAAATATATGTAGGCAAGATTTATGCTATCAAAAGCGGTTTACTATGGGAAGTCGCACCGCCACCGCTGTCCCGGATGGGTCCAGACAATGCAATGTCTCTTGCTGTAAATGGGAGCAACTTTGACTATAACTTCATGATAACCCGCATGTGTTATTTATAACAGTGGGTCGAGCTATTATTGTGTCAACGGCTACCACCGCTGGCAGAAAGGGTTCGGGGTTGCACATATATGCAAGAAATGAATAAAGGCTATGTACCCGTACGCATAGCAGCCATACGTCTACTATTTACGATAAATTCTATCAAAAACCATTTATTTGCCATATATGACATAAGCAGAAAAAATAAATATACGATACTTAAGCTAAGTTCCTGGATTGCGGTGGGTTTATAGTGACTCTTTGAACTAGACGCTAGATGCAACAATAGGTGAGACCTGTCCTACGTATGGCAAAAGTGACAACAGATACATCTTCATGCCCACAATGAAAGACGTCATTCAGACGCTCACAGTGAAACACTCCACTAGGATCGGCAATCCCCACATTTGGATGTTTTGCTCATCGTCGTCGTCGTTGACCCCGAATATAATACTTCTTCAGTCACCCACCTACCTACCTATCCACTTATGTGTAATAGAACGCTTGCTACCATCGTTTCCGTTCGTTGACGTCCTCGACGACTGTCGGCTGCGTATTGAGGACTAGCGCGCTATTGCTCGCAGGGAATTCAGGAGCCAGCATTGACCCGAACCCCTCCGCCCACATAGCCTGGACGGTTCTCCCTCAAACGACCCGACGCCGGCCTGTCTGGCGCCTGCGCTGTTGAACCCGGCAGCAACGGCACCAGCGCAACCATTACTGTCCTAGCATGACCGGAGCAGCCCACAGCCTTCCATTCCTCTTCGAAATACTTCATCTTCTTATTTCTATGGCATCCTAAAACGCAATAACTAAACTTTCTCGATTCGATTAAACGTATAATATAATTAACTATGGCCTTGATATAAGACGAATATGCCATTTTAGTTGTTTTCTCTAGTAGATATTAATTTTTAATACCAGCTCCATCTATAAAGCTGTATAGCTGACAATACAAAACAGAGCCGCTGTTCTACGAGAAAATTTTTCGCATCTTAAATACAAAACCTCTGCAAGGCCCCTACCCTATGCTGCCCTATGGCCGCCGCGAAAGAAGTGCTGTCTATGGTATTCCCACGGGCAATGACATTTTTCGAGTTCATTTAACCCATCCATCTGATTAGCTAAACGTAGCCTAGATGCGTTGTGTGTCGCTAATCATTGATTATATTGCTATTATTGTTATGGAAATACGTGGTGAAGGTCTAACTAGCCGAAACAGTGCAAGAGGCAACTGTCTGCATCCATATTGCGCGGGCCATTGTTACTAGAAATGGGCTCCTAACCGCTCGTCGCGAAGATGGCAAGTAGATTAGAATGAGTATAGAAGCTAGTGATATGGCGTTGGCCATTAGATTTATGTTGGAAGGATGTTTAAGTAGAAGAGCATGGAAACATCAGTGGCGGTAAGCGGTGCAGACGGGAGACGTGAGTGGGTATCACACAATATCGTAATTAAGTTGAAGTTCCAGCTGTGGTTCGCTGATTAGGCAGAGTTCGTAAAATGAGGTTTATGGAAGTAGAAATGCCTTAGTGGGAGGTCTGCAGGCTTCGATTACGTGACTGAATCCCACATCTGAGCAGTAAGCTCATTGGGTATAATATGCATTTGTTGCAAATATGCCTGTAAGCCAAAACCAGTTTACATTTGCTGCAGTGTGGAAGGCAGTTGTACAATCTGACGGAAGAGCGATCCGCAGCTCGAAGCACTGCCCGTATTTTTAAGTGACGAACTAGTGTAGGCAAAATTCGGTGGCCTGATGTTACGAAAAAATTTGAAAGCCAATTCAAAAAAGCTGCAGGTTCGATAGATGACTATAACATAAGCAGAACCTGCTCAGAAACAATATCGTTCAAACTGGTCTGCTAAGGACAGTGAGTTAAAGACATAAGCAAATGGAATATACAGATTGATCTAGATGATAGACAGCGTATACATCCGATACGAGTCGAGCTTGTTTTGTCGAGCAGCGCTCGTTGGTCCTTTCTTTTTGACGTGTTGAACTGCAATTAGGAGGACCCTCATGGGCCGTTGCGACCGGGACTATAAGTTGGACGAGCAAATTTGAGGGAATAAATGGGCGCAACGGACAAGAGAAGAAAGATAAATCCAAATGATGGCGTTATTCGTGTGAGAAAGACACGCCACGGTTTGTTTGGGACAAGCGTGCACCTAGTCACCAACCAAACCACCAGCACGCACGCATACGGGTTGCAATAACCATATGATGTTGGGGCTGATGGTAGAGCGACAGTTCTCTATCTACAGAAGGGAAAGGGGCGGGGGGTACACAGAAAGCGAGTCCAGTCCGAAACAAGGCAAATGATATGTGAATTACTACGTCGGAACAGAACCTACAATGTAATATTACCGAATATCGTCAACGCTAAACGGTTGTTTAGGACAGGAACGAATGCCCTGGTCAACGTACCGCTAGAAGCATCCCTTCGAACGATAAGTCGCTGCTAAGGCGAAACTAACCCCGAAGAGAACATCTGTTTCTTTTTCTTTTAAAATTTATGATTAAACTAACGTTAGGGACCGACCTCTCAATTGTGAGTCAGTCAGAATAGTACTCAAAACGCGTCCACATCGGCTGTAGCGTATTTCATTACGAAGACAGTGATTATGGTAATATTGGATTCCGGCATGCATTGTACGGCATCCTGTATTGCGCGCCACAAGCGCCTGTTATTACGTTTATCCTTTTATAAATTTTCCGGCCTATCCGCGATCCATAATAATAAACTGGAGCTACAGATAATATCGGTTCCAATAACGTTCATACCTTAAGGGCTCAACACGATTGTAGTATAGAGTCTCGTTCAATTCCTCACAGGACGTTCTCTTTGGGTTTTTTTAGGGTGAGCCTTTTACTGTCTTAATCCTTTGGCCTCATTTTTAAGGCTTAAACATTTGGAAGCTTTTCTTTTACAACGAATATCCTTCGTGTTGCCCTTTCAATCCTCTATGATTTCTAAAGTGCATACAAATAACGCTCCGTACATTCGTGCATATATGAAACTTACCGCTAGATGGAAACTTCAGTGTTCGTTCAAAGAATCCAAGTCTGTACTCTAAACTTATTGTCGTACATAGTTTTGACGACCATAAGTAATGTATATATCGTAGATGTAATGTTCGGCTTATTCTGACAAGAATATCATAAAGAACATAAAAAAACTATTAGAAAATTTATTCGAATTGTTAGAATGTAATGTCAGCCTTCTCGGTATCAAGGGGCGGCTATAATAGGTTAAAATGAAACAAGTTTAAAATACTACTTACCTTTGACGGCATTGAGCTGGTTGCCCATCATCTGCTTTGCAATAAAGGCCGCCATCACTGATCAGTCGGGTGGGATCTGGTTAGGTTTGACCGCAGGAGATTCAGGTGAAATAAAGGATGAGTAACGTTGTTCTTCTTCTTATTTGATTTTTGCCCACGTGGCTTACTAATTGTAGAATAATAGAAGAGTAACTGGTAAGTGTAATGGCAATCGTGAGTTAAATTGGTACCTTTAATCTTTTTTGACTTCGTTTAACGTAACCTTGCGGAATAAAGTGGCGGGATTTAGTAGGTCGGCTGATCGATTGGGAATCAGTGACTGCCCTTATCCGGTTTTCAATACTCAGCCAGAGGCTTGAAAAAGCACAACTGAAAGCACACAGAAAGGCGACACATTGACACCGAGTTAGATCTTCACAACGTATTTTAAATTCATTTTTTACTTAGAATGTAAGCTACATTCGTTGCCCCGGTCGTATGGTGATATCCGTTTCGTATGCCAGATCTGACTTTAACTAGCTGGGCATCTCAAAGGCATTATGTTTCTGCGCTAGTCGCGCCCGACCTGTATAGTGGACGCTGTTCAGATGTTTTACCGAACGCAATAGTGACACCTATATGTATGTATACCACGGTCTCGTTTATCAAGATAGATGCAAGCGCTCATACAAATCTGGGTGTGAGGAAAATGTATACTGGAATGTATATTGGGAGTAAAAATCATCGCTAGAATATTGTTAAGGGCTGTGTCCTTCTATATATAATGCCGCAGTTTTTATTCTTTATTGCTCATCATAGTAACAACGTGTGCCATGTATTTAGATATTCTGTTAAGTATTGAAGATAATAACCTTGTTTTTACAAAATGATTGATCATTCAGATAAATGCAAACCGGAACTACAGTCAAACTGCTCCGTAATCTCTTTTATACCCATACTAAAAGCGAGAAACGTCGCGCCTATTCAGGTCGCACGAGCTCGCAGGAAATTATGAAATCCGTTTAGAGCGCTATATATATATATATAATGAAAGCCCAATACCGCATATTCTCAACACGTCGCGACAAAGATTGCAGTCATTGGTCGTAATGGCGAAGTTCTGAGCTTTAAAGGTTCGTTCGGGGCTCTGAAATGGCTTTTTGGGGACATGCATCAGCATCGGTGATCGAGAAAGGCTCTGGAAATGACCACACTCATGGCACAGGCCAACCGTATAATAACTGTAGTCGTCTATTTCGAAGCTGCCGGCCGTATTTATTGTGTCCTAATCTCATAAGAGCAGTGATGCTGTTGGGACAGTTATACCCTACAGTGCATAAGCAGCGCGCTTATAATATTGATAACAGTGACCCACACGTAAAATAAAACCGTAAAAAGATTCGCCTTTTTCCCGGTTACCTTTAACATTCTATTTAGATAACAAATCTTTTATCGGCTGGTTTGGAGAGCATAGAACGCCAAGGCTGGCAACTTTGGAGGAACTCTACATCTCAAAAGGTAGACATTCGCCCGTGGATACGTAGTGTCAAAAGCAAAACATAGAGCGTAGGAATCATAAAGCAGTTTACTGTTCTCTCAAGCAGATGTATTCTTAGCGATAAACGGGTCTTCATTTGCAGCGGTTCGCACTACGTGACAAGACAGCTTGCTAGCGTCAACCTGGCCGTTCCGTAATTACGGGACCCTTTGTTAATTGAGCGAACAAAATTGGGCTCTCTTCAAATGCAATATAGATCGTCGGCGACGTAAGTTAAGTATATGCAATACGGAGTACCTCTCGATGTTTCTCGATGTACCTGTCTCGATCGAGCAAATGCAAAGTCTTTTTTTAGTTTCGGCCACGTCTATTGGCCACTGTGCATAAAAATCATTGCTCTGTATAGTTGAAAAAGCTTTCAAGGGTGAAGCATAATATTACTGTTGTAGTCCCGTAAAAAATCATTGTTATCGAAACGAATAAGTTGCCACAATGTATTAAAGGCCTTGCTTCATTTGTGCGATGCTAATACTCGCTAAAAACTTCAGTTGCCAAAACTTCAACTAGGCGCCACAACTTCAAATCGTTAATTTAGTTTTTCCAGTAGTAAGAAGTTAATTCATTACACAGGTGGCTTACTCTGTTACGAGAAGTGTAAATAGTATCTCTTAATAATGATAGTAAATGAAAGATTTCTTCTTATTAATTGCAATAGCAATTTTTCATTTTCATAGTCATCATTTTATCAAGAGCAATTATGGGGGGTAATAAACATTACTGTAAAAATTAAATGTCTCATTTTATTGTAAATGTATTATATGTTGTACGGGGCGTAAATTTCCGCTTACACTTCACGCGAGCTAGCAAACACGTCTATATAGACACGTGTTGATCTTTGTCAACTTACTTTTACCTCGTACGTGGCAGGGTGTAAAGTTTTATTTGCAGGTAGTATAGTTTGCACATGATTTATTAGACATTTTGATCAATTTAGTTGCAGAGTGTGCTTAGTACACTCGCACTCCCAAGACAAACATATTGATTTGATTCAACATACAGACTGGTGACAAATACCCAAGTAAGTAGAGATCGCTAAACCTCTACAAATATATATAAGTTACCGAACTCTGCTGAAGGGAGCGAATCCGAGATACCCCAATAAGCAATACCGACAAACCCGTCTCAGGAAAATGTTTTTCCCGGCTAGCTCGTATGCAATCGAACATTGCCGTACTGGAACAATCAGCTTTAAAGAGAGCTTGGCAAGCAAATAAGAAGCACCATTTTGTTAACCGGGTCAGCGTTGACGTAACTCGTTTACGAACAAAGTCATTTATAGGTTTCCATAGGTCACTTCTGCAAGCATCCCTATGCACTGATGCAGCATATCCATGTACGTTGAGATCGAACAGCACACAGTTGTTCAGCTTAAGGAGGACACAAAGTCCTAGTTATTTGTAATTACATATATGGCCCTCGTGTATATATATATATACGCAGAACATATATGCAGCTTTTATTTTTCGTTATATTTCTGTCTTAAAAGCATCGATACTGGCAGGCTAGCTCGTTGGGCGCTTCCGGCTAACGTAATGGCGGTGTAGCTTTGACCTGCAGTTGGCGTTACAGGGCAAAAGGTCATCGTCTGCCGGAGGCCGCCTGATCGTCGTAGCTGGCTACTGGTAGCTACTAGCGTCCGTAGTGCGAGGAACGGTAAAGGATGGATCTAACAACAGCTGGTGTTAGCAGTATCCTGAAGGCAGCTGATTAAGATCATATAGTTTTCTCCTGCTTCTTCCATCGGTCCACACAGCAGTATTTGTTGATACACAGCGTCAGCCCCGTTCTGTGAAAAAGGCCTGATAACGTTGGTCACGAAACTGACCCTCCCCCCTCCGCCCCAACGCAAATAATCGATGTGGTCGTATAGGTCCAAGCTGCAAGGGCATACCACGCGCATATAACCGTACGGTAGAAGCTTTACGCTAAACTTCACGAGACAACTTGTAGTTAGGCATGTTAAAAGTTTTATGTACAGCTTTACATAATACTAATATTAGATATTTTTTGGTGCATTATATACGAATGAATTTACGTCAGTATAAATTATACCAGTACGTAGCGCGCTCTTCCATATAATGCTTATATTTACGTACGTAAACGGTCTATAATTTTATTTAGCATATTTCAGCACCCTTTCTACAATATTGAAACATATCACAGTTGTACAGTGGACCAGAAGATCTATCAGCCGGTGTAGAGCATCTAATCTTGGGTCCGTTGTCAATAATGTAACATTTATGATTTTCGATGCGTAAATATACCTTATTTTATGGGTGGTCATATTATTTAGGTATAATTTTACGGTGGCTTCACTTCGTCCAAGCTAATGCGCCGCAAATTATTTACGTAGCAATGTAACTCGAATGGCCATATACTTTAATCGTAATGCCCCAATAGGTCGGTGTTAACACGATAAATTCAAAGATCCAGATTCAAGCGAAAAAGCTAGATTTTGATAGATGGATTTTGCGCATATACGTCAGTTGCCTCTCTTCAGTCTACCCTTGGCTAATTATATGAAAACATTTAGTCATCAAATAGATATACCCGAATAGTCTTGGAAAATGGTGGCGTTTAGTAGTAAGGGGTCATTGGAATATTTGTTTCTGGGATAACGCAAGCCTGGGCATATAGTGACTATTTTATCGTAGATCTTCCTCAGGCCAACCTGTCAAAAAGATAAACTTCACAAAATGCCAAGTCATTGTTTCATTGGGTATATCAGCGCTGTTTAACGCTAGACAGAAGTGTACTGAACCGCTTCGAACGAACGAAAGCTTTCAATCATTTGTTTTTAGATAGGCTTACCATGTAATGTAACATTTTACTAGAATCAATTATCAACAAGCAGGAGTACGAATGTAAGGCGATTTAGTAACGACGATCAAAAACTGTAATAGCTATGACTAGCTATAGCCGTGCCCTAAAAGGGCATAAAACTCAACTAACGACCTGACCTTGAGAACGCAAGCAGCCGGCACTAGTTGGATTCGCTCTAGCCCCCCTCCCCCCCCCCATAGAATCGTTGTATTGGTTTTACAGAGCTTTGGGGATATGGACAAAAGCTAGATGTAGACGGCGAATGGGCGCAATTGGTCTTTTTAACCCAGCAGAACAGAGATGTTGGCAAGTTGGAACGCAACTGGCCCAGATGAAGCCAAGCAGGAGGTGGCTGAAGTAGACACACTGGAGACAGTGACAGCCGTAGACGCTGTTTGTAAAGATGGTACTGGTCGATGGCGTCCGGTAGGGCTGGTGGCAAAGCCGAGCAAGCGCCTGTTCCTTTTGCCCCCGTCGCTCACCCCACTTCGAGTGTGGTACGGGCCGCCAAGTGGATAGTTTTCCTGCTGGCTGTGACGGCTCGTCAGAGGAAGCTCTGTGCTGAGACGTTGCTTACCAAGGCAACTTATATGGACGTTGAGTAGGCAAAGTCTAGATAGCTAATGGGTAGCTACTAGCAAATGGTCTATGCTGACGTACCTTTCCCGACTAGCCTTAACGCCATGGATGGATTCAAAAGTTGTATACCGCGGCACGCTGTTATTCGATAAATTGTTCATTTGATTCAAAAAACATAGTTGAGTCTTGCACGATTTGAACGAGTCAATAAATTACCGCACTGGCATAAGGTGTTCATCTGAATCGAAAACGGATTGTCCGTATACACTGATCAATAAGAAATGCCATTAAAACAAGCATTCACAGCAGAACTTCTTATCGAGGAAATAATTAAAAGAGGAAGTCTTAGCTGTATCAAGCCGGCGCATGATACGGCTTTAAGAGACAAAATTATAATAAAGCTTCTACAACGCGAAGTCTCACGGAGCAC